AACACCCCCACCTGTCTCAGCCTGTCCTCATAGGACAGGTGCTCCAGCCCCCGGATCATTTGTATGACAGATGTTTTTCCACTGCTAATGTCTGTAGTATTATTGAAATTATATTTCTCAACACTGCTATGTAGCCAGTGGAGAGAAGTTGTGTAATATTTCTGGGTGAGGGTGCTAACTGACAGGTTCCCTAATATCAGCATTTCCTTTATTAGTTGTGTTGGCTTTGGTATTTCGTTAGTTTTAGATGACGCTTCAGAGGGAACACTCACTGGCTTTTTCAAAATTCAGGTCTGAAATTAATACTTCTTTAGATTTTAACACAAATACACTTCAGATTTCCACTTACATAAATATTTAGGAGTCTGCATCAATGGGTTGTCCAAAGGAGAAAGGGCACATTTTATACACACACATCTTTCTTAGGTTTCCTCCTCTCAGAAGTGAGAAATGCGCAAGATCTAAAGCTTTAAATACAAGTTTTCCACTAGACTGAACTTGCCCTTTAAACATGAAAGAGAAGCTCATGGCAGTCATACTCACCTTGAAGCCTGTTGGACACCAGTCAACAAACTGGATAGTTCTCTTGGTCTTGATGGCAGCAATTGCTATGTTGATGTCTTTGGGAACTACGTCGCCACGGTAGAGCATGCAGCAGGCCATGTACTTCCCATGCCTTGGGTCACACTTCACCATCTGGTTGTTGGGCTCAAAGCAGGAGCTGGTGATTTCAGCCACCGAGAGCTGCTCGTGATACGCTCTGTCAGAGGAGATGATGGGGGCGTAGGTCAGGTTTCGGCGGCAGATATCATAGATGGCCTCATTATCCACCATGAAGGCACAGTCCGAGTGCTCCAGGGTGGTGTGCGTCGTCAGGATGGAATTGTAGGGCTCCACCACAGCAGTGGAGACCTGAGGGGCTGGGTAGATGGCAAACTCCAGTTTGGACTTCTTTCCATAATCCACAGAGAGGCGTTCCATCAGTAAGGAAGTAAAGCCAGAGCCGGTACCCCCACCAAAGCTGTGGAAGATCAGGAATCCTTGCAGACCGGAACAGGCATCAGTCTAGAAAACAAAAGAGAAAATGGAAGAATTGGGGCTGAAGAAGAATGAAAAGACTTTATCTACTACACGAGCTTACTCTGAGCTGAAGGTAATAGCAGTAATCAGCAATATACAGCATAGCTTTCACGTCAGGTTTTCTTGAGAAAGGGCTTGTGGTAATCCTATCCTTTGCTTCCTTCACTGGCTCAACTTAAGACATAAAGATCGGACTCTTACCTGTGGAGCTTCTCTCTCTCAACTTCACACTTCTTTTAGTTAGTCTAGCTGAAACCAGCAATGTAGAACTACGTAATCTGCCCTTCTATATCAGTATTGGTGCCCCAGAGTTGTGCTAATAATGAAGAATTACATATTCAGAACCACTTTTTAAGACGATCTGAAGGCATACAGGTAGGAAGCTGGGCTTCTCTCTCTTGGACTGGTAATGATGCCTCTGTATGTCTTGCAGTCTCTTTTCTGAACTGTTGGTCTCATCTGTAGTCAACAAGCTACCTGTTCTACACTTCTTTCTTCTGCAGAATCCAAACTGCTGTTTCAAAACTACTGGGACTTACCAGCTTACGGACACGATCAAGCACCATATCAATGCTTTCTTTGCCAATGGTGTAGTGGCCACGGGCATAGTTATTAGCTGCATCTTCCTTTCCAGTGATCAGCTGTTCTGGATGAAAAAGTTCCCGGAAGGTGCCAGCCCGCACTTCATCTGAGCAAGAAAGAGAAATTGTGAGAAGGTGCATGGCTGTGCTCCTGTGCCAACAAGTTCTGGTTGCTGTTGCCATTGATGCAAGCTTTCAGTCACTGGAGGTCTTGACCACAAACATCAGATGCTGACAGAGAAGGGAAAACTGTTTCCTATGCATTTTTAAATTGTTGCATTCTGTTGATTTGTGGCATAACTTGTATCCAGCCACAGAATTTCTTATCTTCTCTAGAACTTGGCAGTTGTACAGCCTTTACCCACAAGAAGACAAGTCAACAGAAAAAATGTGAAGAAAATCAGGTTCCCCCAGGTGCCCCAAGTTTTATAAATCCTTGTATTCCTGGAGGGAAACTGTCAGGCTCCCACTTTGGATCCAAATCAGAGAAAAGCAGAATTCGAATGGCAAAAATGTCACAATAAACAAAACCAAAAGTTAAATGTTTGTGCAAAGAGAAGTCATACAAACCATGTGTACTAGATACTCAACTGCTGAGGATCCTGCTGCACCTGTGTTTGTAACACCTATGGAGATTCATTGAGTCTTGACAGAATCTAGCATTCTGTGTCACAAGAAAATTAATTTTATGCTATCAGGTGGTAGACCAAGACACAAAGGGTGTGCTGCTTTGTACTGGTGGAGACTGGTGGACACCATGATGATATTAGGAAGAGTAAGCTCTTCTCCATTTTCCAGGTTTATTTCTATACTGACCTACTACAGTTGGTTCCAAGTCCACCATTACAGCGCGTGGCACACGCTTCCCAGTGACTGTTTCGTTGAAAAACGTGGTAAAAGAGTCATCGTAGTCGAGTTTATCGTGCAGATCCTTGAAGGTGCCGTCTGGCTGAATGCCATGCTCCAGGCAGAAGAGTTCCCAGCATGCGTTTCCTATCTGAACTCCAGCCTGGCCAACATGAATAGAGATGCACTCACGCTAAGGGGAGAGAACAGAGTCAGGGTCAGAAAAACCACTGCACATTACTCCTCCTTATTCCTAATGGTTACTTTTTCCCAGTGCATTGTTTTTTAAAAAAAAAAAAGGTGAATTGTCACTGTCAGCATTTCATTTGGTTGTTCAAGCCCATGACCACAATGAGACTGTACATATACACACCAGATACTGGGACAGTTCTTTAAAAAATCTTTGAGGTCTTTCTGCTGTAATACAAGGGTACATGAACACAGGCAGGAAAAAACCCAATTTCGGTTACACAAAACCCACCTTTCCTCTGGCAGATTGGCTCTGCTGAGGATCCCATCCCAAGTTAGTTTATTTTTATTCCTGGCTGGAACCTGACACAGCCATCTGGTACCCTTCAATCTTATGTAACCCAAGACAGGCGATGTCTTTTGATCCTTTTACCCTCTGATAGCAGGCTAGAGTGGAAACTTGGAAGAACTGCTTTAAGCAATATTCACCTCAGGAAATTATTTCAGATTCTGCTGGTTGAAACAAATGTTCCTTCAAGCTCCTGAGCAGCTATGAATTTTACATTGCAGGTCCACTGCATATACAGGCAGTATCACTGCAATATAGAGTGTTTATTTGCATAATTTTGAGCATAGTTCCTGGGGTAGCCAGGGACTTCAATGGAAAGAAAGCAATGTACGTAACACCAGGCTAAAATAGGCAGCTGCCAATTGCTCCAAAATCCTTTACACTTGCAATACAGGAGTATGAGAGACCTGGTGCTGGATTTCCTAAGTTCAGAAATAGAATTATAAAGCAGATACTTCTGAGTCAGTCTGGATGGTTACACTAGCTGTAGCGAAAGGCAGTTCTGTAAGGAGAGAGTGGTTTCAGACACATGGAGTTTTTCAGCCTGAGTTTCTGCTTTGGAGCAATTGTAATTACAGTCTTCTGGGCTCCATCTCTGTGATCTCTTTCACCCTGTCTATACTAGGGAGTAAGAAAAGGTCAGGTCATAGTACTGAACACTGGCCTGTGATCACCTGTGCTGATTGATAATTAGCACATGCTCTGGCACAGTTTTGGCTTATGCCAGTTCATACTTTTCCAGGCAATGCTGGGGCACCATCCAGAATGCAACTCATTTTCAAGAATGGTTTTCAGTGAGCAGCTCACTAACCACTGCCTAGCTCTAAGCATGAAGCAGGCCATGCCACCTGGCGCCAAGGCCAGAGAATGGTCCTTGCTCATTTTTATTTTGTAATATCTCATTTAGAGATATACAATTACTTAATATCAGATTTGGCCACTTAATCTTTTTTTTTTTTGCATTCTCTAACTTCTTGCCCTGCAAAATCATCCTGTGACCTGCGAGTGAAACGCATCTGCCCCAAAAACTAAATCCTTAGGCAGAATGTTTGAACAGCAGCATCTCTGGAGCAGTGTTTTCTTCACCATTGACATATGTTTACATTCTAGAAGCGCAGCTAAAGATATTTTTTCAGAAGCAAGTGGAATTGTAGCAGTCACCACTGCCCCAGTTAGTCATCCTCAGTTCAAATGAGTATGGAAAGCCAATTTAAATACTTCATTCAATGACATATATTATTTCTATTCAGTACTCATTTGTAAGTTGCTGACTCTGCGAATGCATACGCAGCACTGTGTGTAACATGCTTTCAAGTGTACTTGCACAGCCCTGCTTTTCTCAGTTGAGTTGTGCAAAAGTATCGTCCGAGTTGTTTGAGTGATGATATGTTGCCACGGAGTTGCAATCTGGAGGATTACTCAGGAGACACTGAAGGAATATTTAGGCTTAGAGAATACAGTTAATGATGATTTTGTACAGGACAGGCTCCTGGTTGTCTTTTAAATCCCAGTGTGAATCTGTAAGCCTGGCAGCAAGAAAAAAAAAAAAAAGCTTTTTCCTTTTAAACACAGCAGTGAGGACAGGTGACTCTTTAAAAGATTATCTTTTAGAGCAAAACTACAATTACACGTCAAGCAATACTTGGAACCTAAAGAGCTGCTTCACTCTGTTCCTCAGATCAGTAGAGGAATGGGTCTGTTTTTTCACAGATGGAACTAGTGAATGTTGCCTTAGAAAGTTAATATTGTAAAGCTTAGTATAGGACTACAGTTGAAGACTACAGAACTGGTTCCTTTCCTTTTAAACTGATCTTTCAGCTATGCTTGTTTGACGCAGTATCTCAAGCCTGTCTTTTGAGCCAGGCCTCTTGCTGTGACTCCTGCCTTCAACTCCCATCTTCTCCTACCTCAGGAGTAATTTGGAAATATTCTGATGAGGAGAGAAGGCAATAACAAGGAGATTTAAATTTTGCATGGTAAACAGTTTTAAAATACGTATCATACTTTTCATAGGGAAGAGTGTGGGCCTTCTTCAGAGTCACAGGCAGAGTAAACTGATCTCTACGTGGTATTTAAATTTGGAGCTTACTCCAAACTCATGTTTCATATCTCGTCACTAATGTACCAGGACCTTGCTTACAAACTGCAGACCTGACCTTTTATTTACCAAGAGACAGTAGAAAGGGCCAGGTCCTTTGTGAAACTAAACCTGGGACAGCTTTGATTCTATTAAAAAATCAGAATACTACCTGACTTAAGTATTTACTGTACAAAGGCAGACTTTAGTCTTCCAGATATTCCAAGCTATTCCCAAAACATACTTGCTACCCTAGGTCTGCCTTAAGGCATGGGGAGCCTGGGGAATTGTGTATCTTGCCTGCAATAATGAGTGCTCTCATTTTGGACCTGCAGCTGTACTGGCAGAAAATGACATAGTTCTCAGCACCAAAATAAGACTCAGTGCTAGACATAAATTGGGGTACAAGGTGAAATGGATTTTTCCCTTTCTAAGAGGTTTTGAGAGATTTCTACAAATTTATAATAAAGCCCCAAATCTTAAAAATGAAGGGCCTTTTTTACTTACTTAAATGCATACACATACGAAAACATTCATGAGCTCCAGAAATACACATGTATACACTGTATATAGCTATGAACAGTACAGCCACTGGGGCTAAATTAATTTAAAACAGACACAAAGGTAAGTAACTTTTTCCTTTAGTTTCCAAAAATAATTATTATCTCTTATGAAAATGAACCTGTGTTGAGAAAATACAGTCACAACAGAGACTACTAAAAAGCTAAGACTCAGCGTAATGCCACTAATTAAGAGACCCTTTGAAGACAGCTTTGGTTCACCATGCCTTACAGCTCCAGTGAGATTTTCTGACACTCCGTTCCCATCCTCTCATGTGGTAATCGGTGCGTGAGATCAGGGGTTTGTGTCGCAAACCGCTGATAACAACGTCAGATCCCCCTGCCTCCCCTCGCCCACAGTCCCCGTGCTCCCCATATGACTGGTGTTCCCACGTCCCCCCTCCTTACCATGGTGTCTCCAGTGGCGTTTCCTTCCCTTTCGGCTCAGTGGTGGCAGGGCTTCGCAGGAGCCCGGCTCTGGGCTGCAGGGCGGGAGGCAGCCCGGGCTCAGCACCCGGCACCTGCTGCTGAGCTTCAGTGTCACAGGGCAGTGGGGAAGAGCTCAGAGATGCGGTGGTTCTGCCGGCTGCACCGTGGCCTCCTGCCCTCCCCGCCACCCGCCTGTGCAAAATCATCCAGACAGGCAGGGCTCACATATATCCCAGATTTCAAATTTAGTCCCGCCTGGTCTGGTGTGCTTATTAAATCTGAGTGTGGCCATGTAACACGCCGCACACTATACTTTCTAACACCTGAGTATTATCCATGTGTATCACCTACAAGACACGTACCATCCCAATTCCCTGTCCTGCCAGTGCATACATGTGTAGACGAAAATCACTCCTAAATTCCAATACAGAAGACCAAGAGGGCATGAGAAAGCAAATGAATGAAAAGGAGGAGGATAGAAGACATACCAAAACCAGAGAATTGGAAAGTAAATGTAATTACCATTCTGAAATGTGCTCTACCAGGGCTCTTAAATGCTGGCCTGACTTCTTTCTGTCCTTACTCCAGCTGCCTCTCTATTAATGTTTTCAATTTACTTCTGTTGCTTCTCTTTCTGTGTACAGTCATCTGGGCTGTCGGCAGTATGGGGCAATATTCAGTACAGAGTCTAACTAACTCGTCTGTCCAAACACAGAAAGAAATCTGATTCTTATTGCAGTGCTTATTGCAAGAGATACCTGAAGGCATCACACAAATGTTCTCACACCAAATTAGAGCAGTTGCCTCCACCATTTTATTGTTTGCTCCTTCTGCATTAGCTCAGCATTGGAAAGCAGCAGCTTCTCTCATGGAGAAATCTTCGTGTTTGCAACTCCTAGGTAACAAAGAGGAAGACACACTTAAATGCTTGAATCTGAGTATTATGTATCCCCAGACTTTAGAACTACACTGTTTATGATTATGTTTAATGTGTAGAAATTTAAATATACAATTCCTATTTTAGGTTACTCTACTTTGACATGAGTATATTAATATATATTGAGTATATTAATAGATTGTTCTGCCACTATTGGCAACCAGCATCTAAGGATCTTCTCCTTGAACTAATGCCTACATTTTAACAATGTGAAGTAGTTCATACCATTTTTTATAAACTCACATTTACTTTGGCATAGTCTTCATTTTGCTGATCTTTACATAAACCTGCAAATAGTTACTCTTTGATGTTGGCTAGGAAAAGCTAACACTATTCTTCACAGAAGAAGAATTCCCATGATCATTTCTGTCTGCTGCTTTGTTTAAGCTATCTAAGTCCCATGTTTCTCCAGCAAACCATGAGATCATTGCTTTGAGGCTCAGGAATAGGTTTTCTAGTGTTCTTCCAGTGGAACTGGTAACATTCCAGCCAAGCTCTGGTGTTATGGACAATTTGAAATGTTAAAGCTCATGGCTCCACCAGATGTGGAGCTCTGCATAGAGAATCACCTCAGGAAAAAGTCTCACAGCAAATACTTCGAGCCGTCCACCACCCAAATCCTCTTAGGCACTCTTTTGAGTCAACATGTCAGATCTAGCAGCCCCAAAACCTGAAAGAGCTCTGTGAATTACTAAATTATTTGTGACTTAGTCCATTGCTGCATTTTCTCTGCTCTTCCATTGCCCCTCCTCCTCTCTTCTGAAATAGGCAGTGAGAGCACCTCTGGGAGTTAATCACTCCTCTCTCCACCCCACTCAAACTCAACTGTCCCAGGACCCATAGACTCACCAATGTTACGGTGCCACACTGAACAGAGTCTGGGTCATGTCTCACCAGTCAAAAACTTCCAGGGAACAGGGAGTGACGGAGTCTTGAGCAGTGTCCCTGGCTGATGGGAGTGCAATGGATATGTCCCTTCTCTCTAGAATCAACTGAGCTTGAAGAGCCTAGGGATGACCCAGGTTACTGATTTTACCTTTCTCACAGGCACATAGCGAAGGTGGCAGCCTTTGAAGACCTACTTTACACCAAAGACAGTGTTTGACCTGCTCTGCCTTGAGATAGCCCATGAACTGAAGTGCTGGAAGCATGGGGAAAATCTTTTTAGTAGGGCCAGCTGTGACAGGACAAAGGGTAATGGTTTTATACTAAAACAGGGTAGGTTTAGATACAAGGAAGAAATTCTTTACAATGAAGGTGGTGAAACACTGGAACGGGTTGCCCAGAGAGGTAGTGGAGGCCCCACCCCTGGAAACATTCAAGACCAGGTTGGACGGGGCTCTGAGCAACCTGATCTAGTTAGCGGTGTCCCTGCTCACTGCAGGGGGGTTGGACTAGATGACCTCTAAAGGTCCCTTCCAACCCAAAACATTCTATGTTTCCATGATTCTATATGTGCTGGTCTGGGGTGATGGCCAGACACGGACGTAAAAGCCCTAAGGAAGACCTGGCCAAACTTTTTCATGAGGTTTCCTTATGTTGCTCTGTCCATCTGTGTTACAGGTGCTTAGGCAGAAAACCCTCAGCCTAGATTTAGAAGGTAACCTGAAAGCACTGTGTTGGACTGTGCTCTCTGGTACCGGTGAGTTTTGTTGACTCCAGAGTCGGCCTCTAGACTCTACTCCATAGAGACATGAGGCAGATACAGCCTGGGCTGGGATTCTTGGAAAGAAAATAACCTTGCTCAACACTGGCATTCAGCCTGCACGGGCAGATGGTGAGCTTGCAGGGGCAGTCACTCAACGTCTCTGTCCTGCATGGAACAGGCTTGAGACATGCCCTGCAAGGGGAGGGTTGACAGCGGCCTGGTCGAGGCCTGCCTACTTCAGCTTTTACCTTGCAACACTGGTAGACGCTGACAAGAGCTAAATAGGGCTGATTATAAAAAGCTCCGCCATGGAGTCCTAAGGTGTGCAAATAAATGAATTTGGCATGAGTGCTGGAGTGGAGTGGCTTTGCTGGTACTGCCGGAGGGCCTGGGAACAGCCCATGCTCCTCGGGGTGATGCACAGCCTGCATGCAACTGGGATGGTCTGGACACGCCCGGAGAGCTTCTCATGTGCACATGGACTGGATGCTGTGCCACAGGTGCCCTCCAGAGCAACCCAACAGAGCAGAGGAGTTGTGTGTTATTATCTCCACTTGTTTATGATACTATCAAAATCAGCCTCTTGGAAGGATTTTTAAAAAATCCTTAAGGTGGCCATACAAAACCTAAACCCTCTTTCTCTATTTAAAAATAGACACATTTCTGAAAATAGCATTTTTGAATAATCTAGAGCTTAGAAGTACTGCCCACCAGATCTTAGGCCAAGAGAACCACCAAGTCCTGGGATCTATCAGTTCTGTTCTGACTAAAGACCAAAATATTCAAACAGGCAAATGAAGGACATTTAACTTCATCTCCTCTACGAGATGTACATCACTCCCTACAGATTGGTTGGTTATTAAGTGACCCACCAGCAGTGGCAGAATCGTGGACTATTTTAGAACAGTAATGTGCCATCTTACAAAACAGTGCACTCCTAAGATGTTCTTTAGTGATCATAAAGAAAACCCTTTTGCTTTTAATTTCGTGTGTGGAAGTCTTTGCATCTCCAACACGTTATGATACCTTCCTATGTTAGGTGAATGAAGATAAAAATGCTTCCCTGTGGCCCCTGTAGAGCTACATTCTGAAATTCTGTTGCCACCTACTGGCAGAATTGACATCATCTCATTTCAGGTATTTCTGAAATCCCAAAGGCTAGTATTTCAGTACCTACATAAAACTGCTATATTGATCAAATACTGTCTTTCAGGCATTACCCCGGAAACAGAGAACTGTGCTATGTATTTTTAAAATTACTTTTAAATAAAGAAAAATTAATTACATGTTGGGATACAGTTTCAAGAGAGTTATTTCCTTTTTGGTAAGAATTATCATATATGGAATTCCTCTATATATGTTAAAAATTATAGAATTAGATCTGGACTTGCAGAATTACCTCCTTTAGTATAGCAAGTTCAGAACTGGAGTTTCTAATATAAAGACCAGCCATTCATTTTGCAGATAAAAAGACCATCTACATCAGCGATGTTTCTGGATGTGCCTGCTTTTCTTTATGATCTTTTAGTGAACCTAATAAAAACAGATGTACTGGAAAGGGGACAATGCTCCTCAAGAGTTTGGGCAAAACATAATGCATTTCTGTAGTCTGCCTGGGGATGTATACCATGAGTATGTTTCAGTAAAAATGTGATTTTTTTTAAAAAAGAAATCTATGAAAGATCTATAGTAAATCCAGCATTAAAATAAGTCATAGATGATGTTCATTTAGCAGTTACAACACAACTGTCAGCATACTTGTGCCCCCAGAGCAATCCAGTTATGATTGTTACACAGTTGCTGCACAAGCATAGTGTGCTCTAAACTTCTGCTGAAGCTAAGAGTACCTAAATTGTGCCCTGACTCATGGCAGCTGGCGAAATCACACCTTCTAGCCACCCTGCACTGTGGATTTTGTAGAAGCAAGGGTACTAGGACAAGCTGTATGTTCTTGGCACCAACAGAGTACTCACCAACAGCTTTACAAACATCACTGTGTTTTGAATTAGTACAAAATAAAGACTGAGCACTGTAAGTAACTTCTCCTTTCATAGTGTCTGTAGCAATTATGTGGGACATTTTGAAGCACAAGTTCCTCAAATAATATTACAGTTACACGACTGTATGTGTGTATTGAATAAATGACAGTATAGATGACAGATCCTTTCAGATATATCAGCAAAAAATAAGAACCCTGTCACCCTCTGAGGTAAAGTAACTAATTATTAGCTGGTCACATATCCTGCATTTACTGACTTGTGATCTCATAGTGGAAAACTCATCTTGTTTATGGTCTACTGAGACAGCAATGGACTTGGTGTGTGTGAGACAAGCAGAAATGCAGCCACATGAAAAAAAGAGACATGGAGACAATCTTACAGAGGAATTTTAAGGTTCCTCTCCCTCATTTTCTTCTTCAAATGAGTCAGTTCCCACTTCTTCGTAGTCCTTCTCCAGAGCAGACAGGTCTTCTCGGGCCTCTGTGAATTCTTCTTCCTCCATGCCTTCACTAACATACCAATGCACAAAAGCTCTCTTGGCATACATCAGATCAAACTTGTGATCGAGCCTTGCCCAGGCATCTGCAATGGCCGTGGTGTTGCTCAGCATGCAGACTGCTCTCTCAACCTGGGCTAGGTCTCCTCCTGGTGTAATTGTAGGAGGCTGATAGTTGATCCCAACCTGCAAATAACAATAGAAAGGATGGAGGAATAAAAAGAGTTATGAGAAAAGGGAAAAAAATAGATAATAAACAGGTTAAGAAAATTGTAAAAGCACTGAAAAGGGAGGAAAAGAGGTAGGGAAAAGCCCAAATCACATCAGTGTTAAGTCTAATGTCATTCAAGCTACCTTTTTGTGTGCATGTCAATTCCTAACCCTCACTCAAGGAAAAAAAAAAAAATATGGAGACCAACAAGAACGGGACTCCAAATGAAGAAAAACGTATAAAAATATTTCAGTATGCATGTAAAAGTTGGGGACAATGAAGAAAAACATCTCTTTGCAGAGATGTAGAAACATTTAACTTGCCAGCAATGAATTATGATAACTTTGGTGGGGTTTTTTGTTTGGTTGGTTTGGTTTTCTAAATCTCATGAAGTGTACTCTCAAGTGTCTCAGTGTCTTCAGAGTATACGCCTTAGCCTGATCTTTCTTACAAAATTTCTTTAAACTTGAAGTCTTATAGGGTTGACATTCTCCTGTTACTGAATATAGAAATACTGCATATGCTTCCACTTACATAAATATTTAGGAGTCTGCATCAATGGGTTGTCCAAAGGAGAAAGGGCACATTTTGTACACACACATCTTTCTTAGGTTTCCTCCTCTCAGAAGTGAGAAATGTGCAAGATCTAAAGCTTTAAATACAAGTTTTCCACTAGACTGAACTTGCCCTTTAAACATGAAAGAGAAACTCATGGCAGCCATACTCACCTTGAAGCCTGTTGGACACCAGTCAACAAACTGGATAGTTCTCTTGGTCTTGATGGCAGCAATTGCTATGTTGATGTCTTTGGGAACTACGTCGCCACGGTAGAGCATGCAGCAGGCCATGTACTTCCCATGCCTTGGGTCACACTTCACCATCTGGTTGTTGGGCTCAGCGATGAGGCGGTGCAGATTAGTGTAAGTGGGGCGCTCAATGCCCAGGTTTCGGCGGCAGATATCATAGATGGCCTCATTATCCACCATGAAGGCACAGTCCGAGTGCTCCAGGGTGGTGTGCGTCGTCAGGATGGAATTGTAGGGCTCCACCACAGCAGTGGAGACCTGAGGGGCTGGGTAGATGGCAAACTCCAGTTTGGACTTCTTTCCATAATCCATGGAGAGGCGTTCCATCAGTAAGGAAGTAAAGCCAGAGCCGGTACCTCCACCAAAGCTGTGGAAGATCAGGAATCCTTGCAGCCCGGAACAGGCATCAGCCTGAAAGCCAACAGGAAAAGTGAAAGAATAAGTGAACATATCTTTAAATTACACCCTCAAATAGAGTCAGCAACACCCCCACCCAGTGCACAGCACAAAAGTCAGCAGTTTTCCCAGAAAATTCTCAGTCTCTTTTCCCCTGTAAGTCTCAGGCTAGACTATCAATAGAGCAATATTGATTTTTACTCTTAAAATAATAATGCTATAGAAATATTTGAGGGTTTCCATTTAAGTCTTCCATTCATATGAAAACTAAGATGGGACATCCAGAACCTGCATTTCTCTGTTCTGAGCCAATGACAATAGTAAAAGCAGAATGAGAGCCACCATAAAAATAAAATGTATATGGTGATTATTTTCCCTCCCACTCGCCTAAGGTCTTGCTTCTGATGTAATAGTGCATACCAGCTTGCGGATACGATCTAATGTCATGTCAATTTTGTCTTTGCCAATAGAGTAGTGGCCACGTGCATAATTATTTGCTGCATCTTCCTTTCCAGTGATCAGCTGTTCTGGATGGAAAAGCTGCCGGTAGGTGCCAGTCCGCACTTCATCTGAACAAGAGAGAAAAATCATAGGCTTGGAAGAGATAACTCACCAAGGCTGATAATGTTTGTAAAACAAATGGAGCATTTTATGTTGGCAGAAAATGGTATGGAAGATCTGTATGTTGAAAAACAAAGTACAGAGGTGAGGAGTATCATCTGAGATGTTCTCCGTTTTGGAAAAACTCCAAGTGTGAGTTGCTATGTTATACAAATGGATTCATTTATCAAATAAAATTTCAGCTCTATATACTGATCAGATGAAGATCCATCAGAACCTTCAGGGGTATTACTGGAAAAAAAGAGGAGATTTGCAAGAGTAAAATAGTGGTTTCCCCTGAAAATGTCAGGACACTTCTGTTGTCTCATTCTTCATGCTCCTTTACTACATCTGAACATGAGGAAAGCATTTTCCATCAGTTAGTAAAGGAAAAATAATACCACAAAAAAAGACAAGAAAGGAATCTCTTTAAGCATGCTAAACTGTACTCACAACCAGTGGTGGTTTAAATAATAGTAAAATTTTGATTTTATTAATTATTAGTAGAACATCGGTGACAAGAGTGCAGTCCAGTTTTCATCTTTTCATTGAGAACAACAGAGCTTTTAGTAAGACCTGGTATTAAAAACTTAAAATCTGTATGTTTTGCCCGCATATTGGGATCATCCCTAATGGTAAGGGAATTGTCCTGCTATTCAGTGATCTGAACTTTGGCATCCAGAAGAGTTAATTCATTTCTATTTTCCAAGATTAGACCTATACTGACCTATTACAGTTTGTTCCAAGTCCACCATAATAGCCTGGGGCACATATTTTCTAGAGCTTGTCTCTCTGAAGAATGTGGCAAAAGAGTCATCATTGCTGGGTTGGTCGATGAAGGTGCCATTTGGCTGAATGCCGTGCTCCAGACAGAAGAGTTCCCAACATGCATTGCCGATTTGAACTCCGGCTTGGCCAATGTGAACAGAGATGCACTCACGCTGAAAGGGGAGGACAAGGGAAATGGTGAGAAGAACCAGTGAATATCCTAAGAGTCTATAAGCTGATCTTACCTGAAACCCCAAATCAACCAATGATTACAAAATTTTCCACAAGACTGGAATTAACGGAAAATATTCTGACATTTATTTACAAATAGGAAGAAAAGTATTTTGCTGTGTGTAGGAACAAACAATCGCAACAGCTAGAGATTTACAGCCATGCCTACACATGGTGTACAGTACGCGGGATCTATGTGCAAGTGCACATAAGCCCACACAGATAGAAAAATGTGTATAGGTACACAAAGTAAACAACAGTAGGTCCTCGCTAAGGAATATGAGCCAAGTCCAGTTATCCAGGACAAGACACAGCTATGCTGTCTTATTGATATATAGATAAATAAAAGGGGATCTCTCAATCTTCTGTTGAACATGGGTGTTTTACAGGTGGAAAACAGCTTTGTAGAAATTAAAGGAACAAGAATTAAAATGCCTTTAGTACCTTAATTAATTTCAACCACTGATTGTTTCGGCCCATTCTCTGGGTATGTTTAATTTAATGTAACATGTGAAGAGTAAACTTGATACTCAAGAGGACTCGGTATCCTTGACATGCTAGACTAACTAAATCATACATACACTTCTGTAATCATGGCTGTTCAGTCAATAACCAGTTTCTAAAGTGTTTATTACTGTGTCATGCATATTGCTTAATAGCAGAAATCTGAAACACAAAATGTATCATAGTCTAAAACAAAAAGAAGCACGTCTCCTTCCGTAGATTGCTATGCAGGCTCCCAATTATTGTGAATTTAAAGGGTTCTCTGAAAAACACTCTTGTTGGACATGGTCTATTTGAATACAAATCTTTTAGCAGATGATTCCCATCCAGTCTAACAGAGTATCTAGGGAAATGTCCACATTTCTTTGCTCTTAGTTTTAATACTCACAAGCTAGTAGGAAAAGGCCATTAATACAGGGTTGAATATACTGTATTCAACATAGATCCAGAGTAGGTTCTACCCAAAAACGAAAAATAAGTTCCAACCCCATCCTTCTTTTTCTGCATATGAATTCCCTTATAATAAATTTATTAACACAAATGTAGCTGTACATATTGGACTTTAAATTTATTTACCAAGAAGCTAATACAATAGTTCGTTTGTACACTGTAAGCAACATTTGTTGCTGCCAAAATGAAGCAAAAAAAGTCACTTGAACCTTCCTACCTTCCCTCAGATCTTGACCAGAGTAGGGGGAAGCAGAAGGCCAACATAAAATATTCTGAATCTTTTCTTACCATGGTTTCTCCTGTGTGCTTCCCTTCTTGACTGGTGGCAGCAGCTTTGGTTACTGATGTTTCTAGTGTTGTATAAGCAACCTGGTGCGAGGTGGCAGGGCACCCGCACCTTGCTGGCAGGGGCCCCGCAGCATCACAGCGTAGGCAGGAGAGGTCATAATCTCTCCCAGGCAACCGTCCCATTCCACCCACTCACCTGTTACACCAGCAGCCTGCTTTCACCCATGTACAGGACCCAGCCCTAAAGTCTGTTCTTAAGCAGTGTCTTCCCAGTTAATTCTCCAAGCTAAACCTTGGTAAAAAAAAAAAAAAAATTACAACTGGTATTAGTAACCAGAATTTTAACACATACAGAGCGTCTTCACAGGACACTTCCTTAGAATTCTAACAACTCGTGAATATGCTACTGATAATTCATTTAAAATATTATTAACCATTTCAGAATGTTTTCATTTACACTTTCAAAAGGCGGGTTCACTTTTAAATGGCATCTTCCTGACAAAGACTACTGTAGATCAATGGTGGACACGGAGTTAACTTGCCTACATTCCACTGATTGAAATGAATTGGGGAACAGGTTGGACTTACAAGGAATTCCACTTGACTGACTCTTTGATCATCTATAGACAAGGTACACGGGATTATCTTCTTGTCTCCTGGTGCTAAGGCACCAAATCTTGTCTTTCTGCCAGCCATTCCTTATCTTTGTGACCTCTGTTCATCTGATTATAGACAACCATTCCTCAGCCTTTCAGCTGCCTACAACGTGGGCCAATACAAGTTTTTCATATCTAGCAACAACACAGCAAAACAAAAAAAGCAGAACTATAATTTGCTCTTATATCTGGAGTTACTAGCAGAAAGTTCATATACACATATACACACACACACACATTGTCTCTGACAAGGCTGAAACAGCAGGATCCCCATGGCTATGTCTTTTCCCTCCATGATATAATGAACGTGCAGAGAAATACACAGCTAAAGATAAATACCAGGTACTTTATTCTTGGTAGTACTGGTCTTGGCCATCCCAAGGTACACAGAGACACTTACATATTTAAAAAAAAAAAAAAAAATGCTGGATCTTTCACAGAAAGTGATTACCAGTCTCTGAACTCCTATGAAAATGCAGACTTACACCCTACCAACATGATCAGTTGATTCAATCTCAGATTCACACTGAGCAAGTCCTCTACTTAATTCAAATACACCTATACAATGAGGACATGTAGTGAAACATTTCCAGAAATTAATTATTTGAAAACTGTAGAGTATCAACACATTAAACACAAAACTTTTCATATACTTAATCACAGTATAAATAAGCAACTCTACAAAGAGGTAAATCAGTATTCACTTTATTGTGAAAATTAAATATTGCAGTATTGCAAAAAAACCCCAATAGCTTATTTCTGCCTTTTTGCCCTCTCATAAGGAATTAAATACTATACAAATGTAAAATCAGTAGTACTCAAAAGAAGTGAAGGTTACCAACCTACACTTAAAATCAAGTTGAATATTCAAGTCCTGGTAAACGAGTAGCTATGACATTTAACAGCATTCTAACCATAATGTATGGCCTGCTCTGCCCACTGGTCCCAACCTCCAAAACCGCATCTCTGCCATCTAACTAAAAATGTTAATAGAAAACTAGAGCAAAAATTGGTTGTTACCTAAACAGCCAGTTTGGTGAGAATTTGGCCTGCCTTTAGACTGAAGTTTGCTATTTGATTAACTGGCTTACAAAGGACTTAAAAGTCAGGCCTTGCAAAGTAGGGAGCCAGTAGACACAACCTAGTCATTTCTTGAAAGAGCTCAACTCAGCAGAGCTTCTGTTTTATTCTAGCTGGTTTCCCATCAATTGTTGCTTGCAGAGTTGTAACTACACTTACAGTCGGATTACAGGAACCATTTAGCAATATTAAGAGCAGCTCCTCCCTATGTGCACAAAGTATGTAAGAAATAACTTTCTAATATGGTGAAGCATTATGTACTACTTATCCTGGTGTAAAGTCCTAGCAGAGACAAAAACTTTGGGGAGGGATATGGGATTGTTTTGGTTTTTCCTCTTGAGACAACTAGGCAAGGTCATTACTGCATTCATGAATGACCGGCCCCACTTCATCTGACACTAATATTGCAGTATTTCTCTATTGAGATAGTTCAAGAAGAAATAGACACAGAACTATTTTTAGCAGTGAAGATGCAGACTGTTTTCAGTGTCCTGGTAGATAGCAAAGCAACAGATCACACACAGTTTGAAGGCACCAACAGGCTGCTATCCATGGGAAGAAAACAGAAATAGCCACCACCTCAGTATACGGCTATTGCTAGAGACAAAGGAACAACCTGAGGGGGACTACTGTTGTAAGACACCACACCAGTATCTGTAATGGCTAATTTTCACAGGTTTGGTGTGGGGGATAAATCTGCCCTTCAAAAAGGCTGTTTTATTCAACATTTTGTAGTTTAGGCTGATGTCAGTCAGCCTGCATCCTTTTGGCACGGATGCTGAGATGGTGGCTACTAGTTTGCCACAAAGGCTCCTTGCCTTTAACTTGTCCTCTCCAGTTCGCTCCAGTGAAAGCAATATTTAAGTAGGTCAGTGCTCTCTCCTTTGGAATTTACTCTTCGTCGATCAATGATAGGTGGATGGATGGAGAAGAAATGAATGTTCTACCCCAAACCTCCAATTTCTGCCCCAAGTGGTTGGAAATGGAGTCAGTCTGGTGACAGGTCTTCTGCAAAGATAATAGTTTCCTTGCCACAGATCTGGGGAAGGTGATGGGATCTCGGAGAAATATCTCTTTCTACCTATTAATGCACTTCTGTTCTGAATGATAGAGCATCGCTAAATGGCTCCCATGTAACCCAAGACTTTAGATACTGGGGGCGGGGGGGGCAATTCTAGACATACAGAGACTCTTTGACATCTACATAAAAAAAAAAAAGAAAGAGTAAAACAACGCAACAACCTCAGTTGTTCAACTAGACAATAACGTAGAATATAGTTAAAAAAATAAGTCTATTTCCTTACCACCACCACGTGTTCCTAAGAATTACTATGCATTAGGCAAGCATGAAATGCTGTAACTTGCATTTAAGAAGAGTAGGTGCAGCACAATAGTCTCTGTAGCCCGCCATTTTGGCCTTCTGGCTTAAATATGACTAAAATCAAGAGCGCCTATATAAGGAGGCATCAGTCACAACAGAAACCATGGCCTTCAAAATGCAATAGGCTTCACTTTGTCCAGTGTTTTTCTTCCACACACTTGTCCTAAATCCCATGCTGCAGGAACTGGGCTTTTCAGACGTCTTCAGGCAAAACAGAATATTCCCCTAATTACTGGTACTCTCTTGCCTTTTACAGTCATGCCTCCAGGAACATTATTTCACTTGTTCAGAGAACAGCATTTGCAAGGATGAAACTTTCTTCCACAGTTCATAACTGGCTACACAACCCTCACTCAAGAGCTACATCCAAAGCAAAGTGTTTTAAAAGGAGGATTCTTATTCAGCTGTAGATGATGGAAGGGGTAGCTTTACACTGGTATTGGACAGAACAGTGCTGTAGAGCCAAGCAAAATGTCAGGAATACTTGGCGTGGTTTCAAAATTCATACACCACCATTCCCTGTCCGAAAAACAAAGGTATTGCCACACAGGAATTCACAGGTGGTCATCTCAATTAGGACACG